ATGTGAAACTTAGAAGTAACTTAGCTGGTCTTGGATGCAATTTAACTTTGTTCTGTCCTAACTTTGAGCTAACTTGAATTTATTTCAACCAGTAATGAGATCAAATGTGAGGAATTGTTTGTTACCTTCTATTGAATTTTGTAGACAACTGTTTATCACTAGAAGCCCTTGAGACTCTTAACTTTATCATCTCTTAATTTTATCAACTTCTTTGGTCACTATAATCACAAAGTAAGCCTTTATAAACTCTTAATTTTATCAATCCATTTAATTACTAAAATCACAAAGTAGACCACTATTTATCACTAAAAGCCTTTGTAAACTCTTAATTTTATCAACCTATTTAATTACTAAAATCACGAAGTAAATTACTAATTATCACTAGAAGCCCTTGTAAACTCTTAATGTTATTAACATATTTAATTACTAAAATCACGAAGTAGACCACTATTTATCACTAAACCCATGTAGGCTCTTAATTTCATCTCCAAAGGAAAGTTAGTTCACAGGTTAACAAAAGGATCATTTAGAATGATCACAATAGGAAGTATTATATTTCCAAAAAAGGTACAGTCTGTAATATATAGAAGCTACACTGTAGTACAATGAAAATGGTTTGAGTAAATTTAAGAGATCCCAGAAGGGCTGCCCAAGACAAAGTCATATTGGCGTGTTCATTAAGGAGCGCTCAACTTAGAGCCGGATGGCAGGATAACCGGTGCGCTTCCAGTTCGAGTTGAGTGGCCCATACATTTTTAAGCGCATCCACTATCTTGTCGAATAATATACTACCTCGTGGTCCGCGAACCGGAGAGAACCCGGCCCTTCTTTCCACGTGAATACACAGTGTTTTCATAGGTGACGCACGCTAAACATCAGCCTTTCTGTCGCTCTGAATATGTGCAAAATAGGACCCCCTTTTCAGGAAGAAACATGCACCACACGATTTGAATGGAAATTCGCTGGCTTACAAAACAGTCGCAGTAAAGATGCTGTTCCCCGTCTGTTCCTTGAAGAGGAAGCTTACTCTTGTCTATTATCAGCCAGTAATAGTGGAGAGGTGTACACCAAGAATGCCAGTAGGTCATCATTTGTATTCAAAGATGTCATTATAGAGCTTCGGTTGCTTAAGCATTGTAAAGTGGACGTCTAATAGCTGTTGAGCTACTGCTCCTTATAATCATCGGGTTATAAGGATTCTAAGTACCTTCGCCTCTTGAGGAGCCTAAGTGTGTCGTAAGGATTCTTAATGTTCTCTTCTGCTAAAGATCCTAAGTGTCCTCATCTCATTAGGATCATAAACATCTTCAAATTCTGTATATGCTAAGCTTCATGGTGTCTAGGGATCTTACGTGTCTTCGTGTCCTAAGAGTTCGAAGTGTCTCAAGAATCCAGAATACTCTAAAAGTCTGTTCTAGAGATCCTCTATCACCTTTATTGCTTTGGCATCCCAACTGTTCTCTTGTCCTAGGAACTGAAAGTGTCCCAAGAATCCAAAGCCCTAAAAATCCAAAAGCCCCAAGAATCCAAGAGTCCTAAAAGTCTGTTCTAGAGATCCTCTATCACCTTTATTGCTTTGGCATCCCAACTGTTCTCTTGTCCTAGGAACTGAAAGTGTCCCAAGAATCCAAAGCCCTAAAAATCCAAAAGCCCCAAGATTCCAAGAGTCCTAAAAGTCTGTTTCAGAGATCCTCTATCACCTTTATTGCTTTGGCATCCTAACTACTCTTATGTCCTATGAACTCAAGGTGTCCCAAGAATTCAAAGTACCCTAAAACTTTAAATGTCCCAAGAATCCAAAATACCCTAAAAGTTCAACTCTTCCAGAGTTACTCTATCGCCATATTAGTTTTAGCACCCTAACTATCCTCATGTCCTAGGAGTCCAAACTGTCCCAAAAATCTAAGACACCCTAAAACTGCAGTTGTTCCAGAGATCCTACAGCTGCTAACCTCCAAAATATTCTAGGTGTCTCAAAAGTCCAAGACACCCTAGAGTCTCTAACAGCCCGTGATCACCAGGACACTTTGATCCCCTATCAACCTAGTCTCCTCGGTAGCCAGCTTTGGTCCGTAGCTGAACTTATAATATCCACACTAATAAAACGTCAACGCCGATCCAGTCAGATGAGCTTTAACGTCGACAGCTTTCATCTTCCGCAAGACCAAGCGTCAGTAATCCGCGTAGCGCATTAGCGGGACACGTTCGCGTCCGCCGAATTGAAATTCCCGAAGATTACAGGCGTTTCGTTGTCCAGCCATCGTTGTTGCCGCGGCCGTGCAACAACGGCCGGCGTAGC